CTTCGCAGTCACATCGCACTGCAGGCTCATGTTTAGCTTGTGATCAACCAGAACACCTAGATCCCTTTCACATGTGCTGCTGTCAAGCCAAGTCCCTCCCATTCTATATCTGTGCCTTTGATTTTTTTGTACCTAAATGTAGGACTTTGCACTTATCTCTACTGACATTCATTTTATTTGTCTCCGCCCACTGTTCCCGCCTATCGAGATCATTTTGAATCCTGACTCTGTCTTCTTCAGAATTAGCAATCCCGCCCAGGTTTGTGTCATCTGCAGATTTGATAAGCATCCCCTCTATGTCTTCCTCCAGGCCATTTATAAAAACGTTGAACAATACCGGGCCCAGGACCGAGCCCTGCGGCACTCCACTCGAGACTTCCCTCTTGCTCAACTCTCTCTGCGCTCGGCTCTCTGCCCGTTGAATGGGTACCTCAGTAGGGATGCTAGCCTTCAGATGGGACCTAGGGACCCCCTGAAATTACAGCTCATCCCTAAATTACAGCTCATCCCATGAGGCAATCACAAACCGGAAATGGGAGAAAACTCATTTTTGCTACTTGATTTAGAGCACGCTTGAAAACAAGTTTTTGCCTGGGTCCTATCGGATTCGGCCCGAATCTCCCTCCACTGTCACTCTAGCCATTTCCCTTGCCTTTGGTGTCGTGGTTAGGAGTGTGGGCTCTAATCGGGGAGAACTGGGTTTGATTCCCCACTCCTCCACATGCGGCTGCTGGTGTGACATTGGGGCCGTCATAAGTTCCTTCAGAGCTGTTCTCTCAAGGGCAGTCCTCGAGAGAGCTCTCTCAGCCCCACCTACCTCACAGGGTATCTGTTGTGGGGAGGGGAAGGGTAAGAAGATTGTAAGCCGCTCTGAGACACCTCTGGGTAGTGAAGGGCGGAGTATAAATCCAATCATCTCCATCTCCTCCTCCTCCTCCTCCTCCTCTTCTTCGTCCGCAGCCCCACAGTAAACCAAGGGGCTACCTGGGCTCTAACACCTGAGAGATGGCACCTGGGAGTTCCAAAGTTTTGTCGCCGTGACTGAAAAGGCCTTCTCGGGTTTGTCACCTCTCTAGCCTCAGATGGCAGTGTACTCAATAGGGTTGCCAGCCCTCCCCCTCCGCTGGAGGCAGGGGATCCCACGTTGCCAGGTCCCACCCCCTCTGGCCTGTGGGGGAGCTTACCAGAGGCAGGAGGGAGGCTCAGGCTACGTCGCCAGTGACATCACAGCAACACTCCGGCCTCTGGGCAAAAACTCTATGGTAGAACTCATTTTTTACTATAGAGCTTTTGCCCAAATATCAGAGCGTCACCATCAGGGCTATTTTTGGGCAGGAACGTACAGGAACGGAGTTCCGGATGGCTCCCGAGTTGGCCACGCCCAGCAGGAACTCGTTAGCATAATAGGCCACACCCAACAGCAGAAACTCATTAGGATTGGCTACATTAGGGGTGTGTGGCCTAACATGCAAAGGAGTTCCTGCTACAAAAAAGCCCTGGGTTTTTACAACAAACAAGGTAAACAGAATAAGAAGCAAAAGGTGGGTGTGGCTGGATGACCACTCTTCTGGTAACATGGGGGTGCGGCCTAATGTGCTAATGAGCTGCGCTGTCAGGGGTGTGGCCTAATATGCTAATGAGTTCCTGCTGGGATTTTTCTACAAAAAAAGCCCTGGTCACCGTGATGGCACAACGTGATAACATAACTTCCGGTACACAGTAGAAGTGACGTCGCCATGGGACATGGCCATCCTAGTATCCAAAGAATGGCCTCTGAATTCCTCTGCACAGGTGAGCAACATCAAATAGACAGCACAACTCACCTGGGCTTTAGGTATGGCGCTGTATCCAGCACACCTTTGGCAGCAAGGAAGGAAGAGGACGTGGCAGCAGCCCCCTCAGGCCTTTGTTGGGCCACCAGCAGCACGGACGGGGTCATGCGGGTGAAACATTTTTCATCAAAGCCAAAAAGTAAATCCTGTGCCTCCTGGGGCGAAAGGGCCACATCTGTGGAGGGAGTGGGAGAGAAGGAAAATGTTAATGGAGAAACAGGCAAGAAAGGTAGTCTCCCCTTGGGAAGGTTTGTCATAGGCTGATTCCGCACTAGAGCTGCCTCGATGTTGCGCCGCCGTTTGCCCCGATACTGTTGGTCAATTTCACACCCGAAGCTGCGGGGCAGCCTTTTGACTCGCGGCTTCGCCCGATTTCCCCCGCAGTTTCGTGATCCTGTTTTTTGAGGATCACGAAACTCCGGAGGAAATTGGGCGAAGCCGCAGGTCAAATGCAGCCCCGCGGCTTTGGGTGTGAAATTGACCAATACTATCGGGGCAAACGGCGGCGCAACATCGAGGCAGCTCTAGTGCGAAATCAGCCATAATAATATTACATGCCACCCCCTGAGCCAATTAATTGGACTAGGGTCCATTCTGCAACTGGCATTCGCTCCACATTTTATCAGGACTCGACCTGGTTCCCCCTTGCCTCAGAATATCTGTTTTCATTGCATTGCCTCGGATCTTGGTTTCTGCATTGGCTCGAGTCAGCTTGCCATCTCTTTTGTTTTCATTGGTGTGCCGATTTCCCTGCTATTTATTTATTTTCATCCCCCTGGGGGGAGGTTTTTATTGTTTTTTTGTTACACATTACGAAACGACAACAGAAAATATAAGGAAGGGAACTACATCTAGGGGATAAAGAAAAAGACCCACGACTAACTAAAAACCCAAGAGTAGGAGATCATACATCAGCTCATCTTGACACCATGCTCTTTTCAAAAAGCTACTCATAATTCTCCCAGATTAGAGTCCATGCACTTGACCACTACACTAAACTGGCTCATTGGTTTTGGGGATAATGGTCTTAATTGTTCTTAATTATTGGATGGATGTGTTTTTAATTCATTATTTATAGATTTTGCTGAAATGGAAATGCGAATAGAAAAATGAAACAAGATAGGGGAATTCTCCCATCTCTCAACAGAAGGGTGAATCACCTCTCCTAGATTATTTAAGAACATAAGAACATAAGAGATGCCAATGTTGGATCAGGCCAAAGGCCCATCCAGTCCAACACTCTGTATCACACAGTGGCCAGAAATACCAGTGCCATCAGGAGGTCCACCAGTGGGGCCAGGACATTAGAAGCCCTCCCACTGTTGACCCCTCCCCCAAGCATCAAGAAGACAGAGCATCACTTGCCCCAGAGTCCCTATCTATACCTTGTGGCTAATAGCTACTGATGGACCTCTGCTCCATATGCTTATCTAATTCCCTTTTGAAGCCGTCCATGCTTGTAGCCGCCACCACTTCCTGTGGCAGTGAATTCCAAGTGTTAATCACTCTTTGGGTGAAGAAGTACTTCCTTTTATCCGTTCTAACCCGACCGCTCAGCAATTTCATGGAGTGCCCATGAGTTCTAATTGTAAGTTCTAATAGTAGGAGCTGGTGCTGGCCACCATGTGAGACAGGATGCTGGACTAGATGGACCACTGGTACATTTTATTCCCATCCACCCTCCAAGGAGGAGAGGGCATGGTACTTTGTCCCGTCCTGTTCTTATCCTCAAAAGCCAGTGCAGTAGCTTAGGCAGATAGTGTCCGGCTGGCTACCACTGAATGAGTGAGGATTCAAACCCAGAACTCCCCAGTCATAGCCTAACTCACAGGTCCCTACACCAATTCTTCTTGATCAAGCTCTTTTATAAATACTTGTATTAAAAATAATTACAATTTAAAAGAAATTTGCTGCATTAACCATGCACCTTTTCCCAATCCAGGTGGAGAAAAACTACTTAGAAGTATTTCAAATAGTTCTTCTAATGTAAGAATAAGAGGAAATTGTTTTCAGAAGTACTCCCAGTGGTACTTTACTCCATGTAGATTATCCAAAATCTCAGGAGATTCCAAGACATGTTGGAAATATGTGTTCTTTCAAGAACACTGAACTACCTCACATTCCCACCACAAATGAAACAATTTGTAGTGGGAATTGTGAGGTAGTTCAGTGTTCTTGAAAGAAAGAGGAAACATTATAATAGGCTGTTATTTGCAACCAACTCCCGTGATCTACTTATTGAATGAAGCCCATCTTAAAATTAGAAGAAGAAGAGATTGGATTTATACCCCGCCCTTCACTTGGAGTCTCAGAGCGGCTTACAAACTCCTTTCCCTTCCCCTCGACACAGGGTGGGTGGGGCTGAGAGAACTCTGACACAAACTGCTCTTTCAGGAACAGCTGTGCCAGAGCTTGTGACTGACCCAAGGCCACATCAGCAGGTGCAAGTGGAGGAGTGGGGAATCAAACCCGGTTCTCCCAGATTAGAGTCCACACACTTAACCACTACACCAAACTGGTTAGAAAAACAATATGTGATTTTTGTTAAAGCATTTACTTATTGCTGCCAGAATGATATTAGAACGATTCTGGAAACAGCAAACAAACCCAGCCAAACTACAAAATATGGAATTCCCTGCCAGAGAATGTAGGGATGGCCACAGGAATAAACGGCTTTAAAAGGAGATGAGATAGATTCATGGAGGACGGATCTCTCAGTAGCTACGAGCCATTGGTGACTGAGGGGAACCTCCACATTCAGAGGCACGAATCAGTGGAAGGCCTCGGCCTCTCTGCCCTGTTGTTGGCCCTCCAGAGGAACTGGTTGGCCACTGTGTGAGACAGGATGCTGGACTAGATGGACCACTGGTCTGATCCAGCAGGGCTCTTCTGATGTCCTTATGAAGGCCTTGGCCTCTATGCCTTGTTGTTGGCCGTCCAGAGGAACTGGTTGGCCACTGTGTGAGACAGGATGCTGGACTAGATGGACCACTGGTCTGATCCAGCAGGGCTCTTCTGATGTCCTTATGAAGGCCTTGGCCTCTATGCCTTGTTGTTGGCCGTCCAGAGGAACTGGTTGGCCACTGTGTGAGACAGGATGCTGGACTAGATGGACCACTGGTCTGATCCAGCAGGGCTCTTCTGATGTCCTTATGAAGGCCTTGGCCTCTATGCCTTGTTGTTGGCCGTCCAGAGGAACTGGTTGGCCACTGTGTGAGACAGGATGCTGGACTAGATGGACCACTGGTCTGATCCAGCAGGGCTCTTCTGATGTCCTTATGAAGGCCTTGGCCTCTATGCCTTGTTGTTGGCCGTCCAGAGGAACTGGTTGGCCACTGTGTGAGACAGGATGCTGGACTAGATGGACCACTGGTCTGATCCAGCAGGGCTCCTCTGATGTTCTTATGACAGCTGTTAGAAAAGGTTTGGTTTGTTAATTACAATGACTAAAAGTACAACTTACAAATATATGGTTGTGAAAACTATGTGGAAGTTTTGCTGCCCTTTATACAACACTGGAATCAGCTTCATTTGATTTCAGCCAATAAGGTGGAGATACTAAAGTGTCTATAGAATAAGGGTCAATAAGTATACTATTAAACCTTGGTCTTTCTTTTGTAACTTATTAATTCTTGGAACTGAAGTGTTATAAAAGAAAATCGGAAATCTTTCTCTCTTCCGTACATCGAAATCTTCTCTTTTGCTGTGTAACTCTATTACATAAATTTTAAAAGTTTTAATCCATTCATCAGATGGCTAGTTGACTAAATGTCCCATCTATCATTACCCATATTAATAAAATTAATTAAAAACAATAATTAAGAACAACAAACGCATAGTAACAACTAAAAGAAACAGGAGATCACACTGGGACCCAAGTTCAAATCCTCGCTCAGACACGAAGCTCATTGCGTGATCTTGGGCCCGTCACTGTCAGCTCAACCTACCCCACAGGGCTGTTGTGATGATAAAAGAGAAGACAGGAGAAATAACTATGGCACTATGAGCTCCTTGAAGGGAAGCAGGATAAAATTATAACTGAAAGGCAGACATTGCTTTTTTTCCTGCTCTTTATGGCATGCAGATATTCAGTACTGCACCAAGTCAGTGGTGTTTAGGCAGTGGAGTCCTTTGGGGGGGGGGTCTCCCCTCGAGACCGTACCCCTATTGCTGTGACGCCGGATGACCAAGGAGACTTGGAAGCTGAGCTGGCCTGGGATACTCCTTCTCGACACCAGTGAGCCCTTGAGGATGAGGTACCGTGTTGCCCCGGAGAGGCAGATAATCTGGAGGGCAGGGTGGGAATGAGAGAAGAGGCAAATTTTAAAATCAAGAGCTAAGGCAGAGGCAGGCCCCTAGGTACGGTGGGGCTTTGGGGGGTTCTGCCCTCTTTCTTAAAGGCACAGCCCCACAGGAATTTCTCCTGTAAACGTTTTTTTTCCAATAATTAAAAGCGTGCGCTCCTTTAAGCAGAGTGGGACGTTGTAGTGGACTAATTTCCGCATGGAGCAAGGGGGTTGGAGTAGGTGACCTCTATGAACCCTTCCAACTCTGTGTCAAGAAACCGCCCTCCTTTAAGAGAGTTTTTCTGCTGAAGTGTTAGCTTTCTTGACTGTAGAAGTCATCACCCCCACCTGCTGGCTTGTTATCAGAATGGTTGCTTTTGCTGGCAGGCATGATTAATTTGCAGCAGCTGAGAACTCTCATCAAAAGTGCTTGCAATTTAGAAAGTGATACACTTTCGCCTGGATCTGGCCCACTAGACTGCATTTTCCGGAAGAGGGCAAGATAAGACCCTGATCCTGGAAGCCCCCAAACGATGGGGAGGCTGGGCTGCCAACTCTGGGTTAGCAAATTCCTGGGGATTTGGGGGTGGGATCTGGGACGTGATGTCACATCCTTGCTCCTGGCTCCACCCCCAAAGTCCCCAGATATTTCCTGAGTCGGACCTGGCAACCCTGTCCTCTGTTCGTGGAAGGTCCCTCGACTTGTCGTAAGCAGGGGTCATTTCGTAGAAAAAGAGGTGCAGGAGCTCATTAGCATAACTCATTAGCATACCTTATTTGCATATGCCACGCCCCCTGAGATCACCGGAAGTGTGTCAGAAGGCAACACCCACCGCTCAGGCTCCACTGGACTGTTTTGGATTGCTAGCTATTGGCGGGGGGGGGGGACATGCAGATCTGTCCTCGCAGAGGAGGGAGAGCTTGTACCTGAATAAAACTTGGTCTTAAAGGTGCCACTGGACTGTTTTGGACCAGGGGGCCGGGGGGAGCTCTGCAACTTACCTGGCTGCTTCTTGCTCTGACTGAGGGCTGCTGGGAGCAGGGGGTGGGGCTTGTTGCATGTGCCCGCCCCCTGGGCTCTTTACTGCTGGAGCTCCGCTCCTGTGCGCTCCTGCAGGAAATGACCCCTGGTCGTAAGAAATAGCCATGGATCTCACCCGCTCCTCCCAGATACTCTTTTGAGCTTACCTGCTTTTGATGGAGGCCTTCCCCTCCCACGAGGAACTTCTCCCTGGGGCTAGTGGTCGCACCTTCCTTTCTCCCGTGGTAGAAGATGAGGAAAGCCAGCTGCAGAGAGCCAACTTGTGGCTCCACGTCCTCTGGGAAGGTCAGCTGAAACCTCAGCTTCGTCTCAGCCTTCCATTGAACTGTGGGAAGAGAAGGAACCGCGTGGTCAAACCAGACCTTTGTGCTAGAACCACGCATCATTCCAAAGGACAAACAGAATCATTTAGAAGAAGGAGAGATTGGATTTATACCCCGCCCTTCCCCTCCCTACAACAGGCACCCTGTGAGGTAGGTGGGGCTGAGAGAGCTCTGACAGAAACGGCTCTTTTTCAAGAACAGCTGTGCCAGAACTATGGCTTGCCCAAGAAGAAGAGGAGAAGAGATTGGATTTATACCCCACCCTTCACTACCCAAAGGAGTCTCAGAGCGGCTCACAAACTCCTTTCCCTTCCCCTCCCCACAACAGACACCCTGTGTGGTAGGTGGGGCTGAGAGAGCTCTGACAGAAACGGCTCTTTTTCAAGAACAGCTGTGCCAGAACTATGGCTTGCCCAAGGTCATCTCGCAGCTGCAAGTGGAGGAGTGGGGAATCAAACCCGGTTCTCCCAGATTAGAGTCCGCGCACTTCACCACTACACCAAACTGGCTTATAATAGAATAGCTTTAAATGCTTCGTTGTTAATGCACCAGTAGTGATTTTTGAGCCTTGGCCCAGATAGCCCTTCTCATCAGACCTCGAAAGCTAAGCAGGATTTGGCCCTGGCTAGTATTCGGAAGGGAGACCACCAAGGAATACCATGGTCGTGGCCAAGGAGGCAGGCAATGGCTAGCCACCTCTGGACGTCTCTTGCCTTGAACACCCGATGGGGATCACTATGAGTCAAGTGCGACTGGACCGCAAAAGCAAAAAGAGTTATTGAATGGATTTTGATACCTTCCTGAATAAGAATTGAAGATAAATAATTTTTAACAATGTGTACATAAGAACATAAGAACATAAGAGACGCCAATGTTGGATCAGGCCAATGGCCCACCCAGCCTAGCACTCTGTGTCACACAGTGGCCAGAAATACCAGGTGCCATCAGGAGGTCCATGAGTGGGGCCAGGACATTAGAAGCCCTCCCACTGTTGACCCCCCCCAAGCACCAAGAAGACAGAGCGTCACTTGCCCCAGAGCCCCTATCTATACCTTGTGGCTAATAGCCACTGATGGACCTCTGCTCCATATGCTTATCTAATTCCCTTTTGAAGCCGTCCATGCTTGTAGCCGCCACCACTTCCTGTGGCAGTGAATTCCAAGTGTTAATCACTCTTTGGGTGAAGAAGTACTTCCTTTTATCCGTTCTAACCCGACCGCTCAGCAATTTCATGGAGTGCCCACGAGTTCTTGTATTGTGAGAAAGGGAGAAAAGTACCTCTTTCTCTACCTGCTCTTTCCCATGCATAATCTTATAAACCTTGATCATGTCACCCCTCAGTCGGCTTTTGTGTATTGTGTATTAAACTATAAATGATTCTACGAGAGTACAGCGCAAATCTCTCATATCTATCTCAGGCATTATTCCAAATATCCTCCAAGGAGACTAGAGGGGTGTGAAAGATGTATATAGTGATATGCAAAAGAAATCTGGATATCTAAATATGGTTACGATGCCAGGATAACAGTGTGGTCCTTCCTCACACGGCTGCTGTAAAAACAAAACAATTTCATATGAAAAGCACTTTCGGGACTCTGGAATGGGAAGTAGAGTAGAGAAGAGAAGAGATTGGATTTATACCCCACCCTTCACTACCCAAGGGAGTCTCAGAGCAGCTTACAAACTCCTTTCCCTTCCCCTCCCCACAACAGACACCCTGTGAGGTAAGTGAGGCTGAGAGAGCTCTGAGAGAAACGGCTCTTTTCCAAGAACAGCTGTGCCAGAACTATGGCTTGCCCAAGGTCACCCAGCAGCAATCTAATCTGGGAGGACCGGGTTTGATTCCCCACTCCTCCACTTGCACCTGGCTGGATGACCTTGGGCAAGCCATAGCTCTGGCCCAGCTGTCCTTGAAAAACAGCCTTTTCTGTCAGAGCTCTCTCAGCCCCACCTGCCTCACAGGGTGTCTGTTGTGGGGAGGGGAGGGGAAGGGAAAGGAAAGGAGTTTTTCAGCCGCTCTGAGATTCCTTCAGGTAGTGAAGGGTGGGGTATAAACCCAATCTCCTCCTCCTCCTCCTCCTCCTCCTCCCTCTTCTAAATGGACTGTCCTGAGTCAGACCTCGGATCCATCCTCCGCCATCTTGTTTCCTCCGCCTGGCAGTGTTTTGCTGGGCTCAGGAACCAAAAGGCCTTCCCCCCACACTGAGGATCTTTTCTGCAGGCCGTTTAGGGGCTCTGACCACTGAGCTGTTGCCTCTCCCCAAAGAACCTGCTGCCTTCTCCCACATCAGACCTTGGACCCGTCCCGGTCACCTTGTCTTAGGGCTGCCAGGTCGTCCCCCCCCCGGCCACCAGCAGGGTCACGCGGGCAGGGCAGCCAGACCCAGGGGCTTAGTGAGTTCCCTTCTTCATTCCAATGATTCTGAGCTTGCCTTTTTGTCAGGGTGGGGCCATCCAGGTTGCCATCTTCCAAGTGGTGCCTGGGAAACCTCCCAGAACCGATACTGCTTCCTAGATGACAGGGACGAATCCCACAGGAGAAAAGGGCTTCCCTGGACAGTGAATTCTACGGCATTGTACCCCACCTGAGCTCCCTCCTCTCCCAAAGCCCTCCCATCCCGAGGATCCACCTCCCAAAGCTCCAGGAATCCCCCAGCCCAGAGCTGGCAACCCCCGGGGTATCCCCATTTCTCCCTCTTCCCTTAGTTATTAGCTGCGCAGATTAAGAAAAGGCTGTTTGCTCACACAGGGGAGGGAAAGGAAGAAACGGTGGGCTCCCCCAACCCCCCCCCCCAGCTGCAAGCACAGAATCTTCATACTTTGTATTAGGCAGAAAAGAACAGCCAGAAACTGCTGACTTTCTGCCTGGGAGGCAGGGGTTAAAGGTACAGGGCCTGGGAAGAAGGAGAAGGAGAAGAAGAAGACGAAGAAGAAGAAGAAGAAGGAGGAGGAGGAGGAGGAGGAGGAAGAGGAAGAAGAAGAAGAAGAAGAAGAAGAAGAAGAAGAAGAAGAAGAAGAAGAAGAAGAAGAAGAAGAAGAAGAAGAACTACCCGAAGGAGTCTCAGAGCGGCTTACAGTCTCCTTTGCACTGCACGTCCCACAACAGGCACCCTGTGAGCAATGTTCCCTCTAAGCTATGGAATCCTTTGAGCAAAAATTGTACTTCATGAGCTCCTGGCATTAAAGTTGTGAGCAGGTGATTTAGCTGCTGCATACCTTAGTTTGCTCTGGAGCCCTCCTTCCTGAGCTAAGGCAAAAATGTATGCGCCGGAGGCTAAAAAACTGTGAGCTGGCTCACACTAACTCAGCTTAGAGGGAACACTGCCTGTGAGGTAGGTGGGGCTGAGAGAACTCTCTCTCGAGGACTGCCCTTGAGAGAACAGCTCTGAGAGAGTTTGTGACTGACCCAAGATCACACCAGCAGCCGCATGTGGAGGAGTGGGGGAATCAAACCTGGTTCTCCACGCTCCTAACCGCCACAGCAAACTGGCTCTAGAAAAGCCACCTGACTTTGCAGTAAAAACACATCCCAGACCTATCGATCGCATTTTGGATCCCACCCGTTCCTCCAACAGAGGTGCCAATCTCCAGGTGGGACCTGGAACTCTCCTGGAATTACGTTTGATCTTCAGATGAAGGAGATTGGTTCCCCCCCCGGAGGAGAAGGCTGCTTTGGAGGGTGGATGCAGGGGCATCGTACCCCTCCGAGGTCCCTTCCCCTCCCCAAAACCTTCCTCCCCCAGATTCCACTCCAAAACTCCAGGAATCTCCCAACCCAGAGTAAGCACCCCCATCCCCCAAGGCACTCAGAGCCGTGTGTGCTGTTCTCCCCTCCCCATTTTCTTCCCCCAACACCCCTGTGGGGTAGGCCAGATGTAGAGAATGTGACGACCATAGGGTTGCCAGCCGGCCTGTAGCTACAGTGGGGCATCCCGGGGCCTGGCCCCCTGATTTACGGCCAAGCCCCCCTCCCGACTTCCCATCCAGCCCAGGCCCCCCAACTTCCAATTTTTAATTTTATTTGTGGCGCTCCCTTGGGGGGGGGGGTGCAGGGTGCCCCCTGACTTATTTAAAAGCATCCCCAAATTTAAAAATCCTGGCTACAGGCCTGGTTGCCAGGTCTGGCTTCGGGAATACCTGGAGATTTTGCAGTGGGGGAGGCCTTGGGGGAAAGGAGGGACTGAAACAGGGCCTGACGCCGCAGAGTCCCCCTTCCCAAAGCAGCCGTTTTCTCCATGTGAGCTGATCGCTGTCGCCTGGAGATCAACTGCAATAGAGGGAGATGTCTCCCGCCACCCCCTGGAGGTCGTGTGAACCAAAAATAAGACACACCGTGCTAACTTACAGTTTCTCTGTTGTTATATAAAGGACATGAAATATAGCTTAACTAAACAGTTTGGTGTGGTGGTTAAGTGTGTGGACTCTAATCTGGGAGGACCGGGTTTGATTCCCCACTCCTCCACTTGCACCTGCCAGATGACCTTGGGCAAGCCATAGCTCTGATAAGAGCTGTTCTTGAAAAAGAGCCGTTTCTGTCGGAGCTCTCTCAGCCCCACCTCCCTCACAGTGTTTGTTGTGGGGAGGGGGAGGGAAAGGACTTTGTAAGCCACTCTGAGATACCTTTGGGTAGCGAAGGGTGGGGTATAAATCAGTGTTCCCTCTAAGCTGAGTTAGTGTGAGCTAGCTCACAGTTTTTCAGCCTCCAGCTCACACATTTTTTGTCTTAGCTCAGGAAGGATGGCTCCAAAGCAAGCTAATTTATGCAGCAGCCCAATCGCTCACTCACAACTTGAATGCCAGCCGCTCACAAAGTAGAATTGTTGCTCACAAGACCCCACAGCTTAGCGGGAACATTGGTATAAATACAATCTCTTCTTCTAGGTTTCTGTCAGAGCTCTCTCAGCCCCACCTACCTCACAGGGTGTCTGTTGTGGGGAGGGGAAGGGAAAGGAGTTTGTAAGCCGCTCTGAGACTCTCTTGGGTAGTGAAGGGGAGGATATAAATACAATCTCTTCTTCTTCTTCTTCTTCTTCTTCTTCTTCTTCTTCTTCTTCTTCTTCTTCCTCTTCTTCTTCTTCTTCTTCCTCTTCCTCCTCCTCTTCTTCTTCTTCTTCTTCTTCTTCTTCTTCTTCTTCTTCTTCTTCTTCTTCTTCTTCTTCTTCTTCTTCTTCTCTTGTACATCCAGTACTTAGCTCTCCTGGGTATATAACAGACTATTTCAAATACGTAAATACCATTGAGCAGAACTTATGTGTTTTTTTTCATCCGAAGACGCCTCATGGCCTGGCTTCAGGTATGGCTGCTAGTTCTTCTAGAACAAATCTCAGCCGGCTGACGCGTTTCGAAAATCTTCCTTGTCAAAGCCAGTATGCAAACTACGAACATAATGATTCCATAAGTTCTGCTCAGTGGTATTTACGTATTTGAAACAGTCTGTTACATGCCGAGGAGAGTTAAGTATTGGATGTACAAGCATCTATACATGTTTAGTTAAGCTACATTTCATGTCCATTATTATAACAATAGAGAAACTGTGACCTAAGTTAGCACGGTGTGTCTTTTTTTTGGTTCACACAATCTTTCCCATGCGCTCCTTTGGTTTACCCAACCACCTGGAGGTCAGCAACCATAGACAACCAGCTGTGTGGGGATCTGTGCCCATCCCTGGCTGGACCCTAATTTGAAACGAGAACGTCTTCCTTACACCGGCTCCTCTCTCAAGACTAAGGCTAGGTTCACACCTGCGAAAGAATAAGGGGATGCTGAGCACTGTTCCCTCTAAGCTGCGTTAATGGGAGCCAGTTCCCACTTTTTTTAGCCTCCGGCTCACACATTTTTGTCTCAGGAAGGAGGGCTCCAGAGCAAACGAATGTAGGCAGCAGCCAAATCGCCTGCTCACAACTTTAACGCCAGCAGCCCCCAAAGTAGAATTTTTGCTCGCAGGACTCCACAGCTTAGCGGGAGCATTGATGCTGAGCCCATGCACGAGAATACGAGGGTGCCGAGGGCGAGCTATCCAGTGTTCCCTCTAAGCTGAGTCGGTGTGAGCTAGCTCACAATTTTTTAGCCTCCGGCTCACGCTTTTTTGTCTCAGTTCAGGAAGGAGGGCTCCAGAGCAAAGTAATTTATGCGGTAGCCAAATTGCATGCTCACAACTTCAATGCCAGTAGCTCACAAAGCAGAATTTTTGCTCACAAGACTCCATGGCTTAGAGGGGGCATTGGATCGATCACTTCAGCGCTCCAGCACCTCATTCCCTCGTATGCACGAGCCGGGCCTAGGCACCTGCCAAGGAGTCCCACGGGCTCCGGCCTCTTTTTCCAGCTAATGGCAAGCCTGGGAAATGTGAGGGAGCGGAACGTTTATCTCTTGTTCCTGGTGAGACCTCTCTCTCGCCTGTTCCAAGTTGAAACAGAAAGATATTCTGTAAGGGAGCGGATGAGAAAAGGAAGGGGAGAGAACTGCATGGATTTTGGAGGGAGGGTGGGGGGAACTGAATGGGTGGATGGGAGGCAGAGAAAAGAACAGAAAAGGGAAACACACAGTAGCAGCATTCATAATAATTCAGTTAGGAACATCATCCTCCCTCTCAATCTCGGTATCTACCTTCCTCCAGGTGCAGAAGGAGAAAGCGGCTGCTCCCGGGGTCGGCTAGATAGCTGCCGACGCGCTGCAGGGAAGAAAGAAGAGAGTGAGGGACGTCCGGGGGGCACAGCCCAAACTCTTCCAGGTCTCCATCGCTCCAGGTGGATCTGCTCAGGGCCTTCAGGAAGCCACTCTCGTGGCTGGTGAGGAGACCCACCACCTCCAAGTGGTTGGGAGCCCGGTCCCCTCTCCTGTCCAGTTTCACCCTACACACAGGTTCTTCCGGGCCCCTGTTGGGCCGAGCCTGGGAGTTGGATCTGGGCCATGGCCTCCGGGAATTCTCATCATCATCATCATCTTCTTCTCCTCCAGCCAAGTGCTCATGAGGACTTGGTCCTTCTGGATCATTTGCGGCGACCTTCAGCCCCGGTCCTCTCAAATCCAAGGCTCTTGCAAACGGCACTGTTTCTTGGGTTTCAGACTCTCTGGAGGCCGAAACCTCGGGTTGTTCCCGCCAGGTTTCTGCACCTGCCAACATCCCTTTGCCAGGCACAGAGACGGACGCGAGCAATAGCCACGCTCCCAGGAGAACATCTTCGCACGCAATCCGCATGGTCTACTTCCCCGGAGAGCAGGTCTTCCAAAACTCTGCAGAGCCGTTGAGAATCAAGCAATGACATCCTTTGGAAGAGGGAGGGGGGGGGGG